AGCAATAAAAGAGTCTGCAAGCATGGATGAAGAACCCTTTAAAACATAGAAGATTAAGGTGACAGTGGCAGCATGGTGATTTAGGGTGGTGCAAATGCCAGCATTGTTACAAGCCCAGTTGTGCCAGCCCTGTGATCATCATTGTTGAGGGTACTCATTGTAATTTGCTAAGGCTTTGCAGTACAGTATACTGTTGTTATTCTGGGAGACAAAACCGGCAAACTAAGGATCTTTTAAGTTACCTCAAAAGGAGGGTTTTGAAGCCATACTGTATGTATTTCTCTTTAAAGGCCTTGAATGTGTACACTAGGATAGTCATTCCTGTTCACTTAAGTGATGGTATTTCCTGCTGTCTGATTTGATGAAATTTTGTTGTTTGCCCTCAGGTGGCTGTGGTGCAGGAGGCATCACACCTCTTCCCCACGGTGGACGTGCCGGACCATGCCCACTACACCATTGGAGCTGTCATTCTTGCTGTGGGCATCACAGGACTGTTGGGCAACTTCCTGGTGATCTATGCCTTCAGCAGGTAGATTTTCACTCTAGCCCTCCTATATTCAGCAAAAATACAGTATGTGATATGAACAAAATGGGCTTGTTTCTACGTGTCTGAAGGACAGGACATTTCTCTTGTATGAATTAGCATCCAAACTGGTTTGTTGTACTAGACAGTCAATACCCAGAACTAAGTAAATTCCTGATTTATGTGTGTGACTCCATGTGTTTGTTGCCATGTGAGATGTGCCCATAACGTAGAAGTCTTGGGTATGTGTTTTTTCTTCATGACTGTTTCATGGTGTGAACGGGTCTTAGCAAGTCTCAGTAGTTCCGCATTACAACTGAAGTTCCTTGAACCTATTTCTGTGTGTCTCATTTTCACTTCTCTGTCTTTGCTCTTGCTCTTCCACCTAGTGCCCCAAACCCCCTTTGGACAGTGGTAGAAAGGAGAGGTCTAGACAATATCTAGACAATATTGTAGTTGAACACTGTTGAACACTGCACTGCAGAATTCTTCGGCATGGTCCCAGATCAAGTTTATTTTGTTTTTTTGAGTGGCAGTGTTCTTGAAATCTGGAGCTTAAAATTCTGAGTCAGATAAAGAGGGGGTGCCCCTGAAGTTTGTCTTTAGCCAAGAGAAGGTTTTAGAGAATCTGGCACTGATTTTGAGCTATTGCTATTTTAGAAAACATAATTAATCTGCCCTATATAACATCTTGCGTTCCCCATAATCCATTAATAAAGGAGTTTATTGTTGCTTTTTAGCTACAAATTACTCTTCTGTAATTTAATTTACAATTGCACACAAGTACCTCTTTGGAATACAAAAAAAATAATTTAATTAAAATACTGTCATCACAGGTCTGAGACTCTTTTTGAACCCATGTGAAAAAAAATCCTGTTTCTGTGCTAATAACTTCCAGTGAACTTATTACTCAAAAGAAGTGTTGGGTTCCAATGGTCTAATGACATTTGTTTTAGTATAAAAGAATATTAAAAATATTGCAACATGTGGGACAGTTCCACGCTTGGATGAACCAAGCCACTTCTGTCCCAGTCACTTGAAATCATTCCTGATATTATTTTTCATTAAAGCTACTGTATTTACAGTATAGTACACAGTTCTGTACAGTATGTAGAACATGAGTCCTGTTTTCTTTTCATTTTTTGCCTCATGCATCTGATTGATCAATTTCTTCATTTGCCAACATATCCTATTCTGTCTGTTTTATTTAAATGTTGGAATTATTACCAATTATTTCTTGTTTAATTCCCTCTGTTGAGAATCACCAAATATGTAGCAGCTCTGGGAAACAATGAGGACCTGTACATCTACCCCTCTGACACTACCTTTAAAGGCCAATCATTTGTCTGAGTGCAAGGTCCACAACATATTGCTGCAGCATGAGGACTGATTAAAGGAGCATAGTTCCTGCTGGTGCCAAATTATATATGATGTAGCAGGTTCCAGGTTTGAAACAGTGACAACTACTGTAGGCTATAAGGGACTCAATCCATTTACAGACTCTCTCTAAACAGCTTTAGGAATAAGCCTTGTGAATTACAGACTACTTGGGTTGTTGATATGAATCACTCTGGGCCAGTTCCAGCACTTTGTTCAAAGGTAGTGCAAAGCTGATATGAGGCTTTTACGATAACAGTGCTCTGTTTGTGTGCTGTCTTGCAGGAGTAGGAGCCTGAGGACACCAGCCAACATTTTCATCATCAACCTGGCCATCACAGACTTCCTCATGTGCCTCACGCAGGCCCCTGTCTTCTTCACAACCAGCATGCACAAGAGGTGGATCTTTGGCGAAAAAGGTAACCGGAGTAAAGCTTGCAGGAGCCGGGTGCTGTGCTTTGATACCTGCTGTTTCTCATAACCTTAATGTTACCAGGTAAGTCAGAAAAGGAGAAATTCTCCCCTGAGAATGATGACCTTTAAAAAGACTTTGCTCATATCACTTGATGGTGTTCTGTTGTGATCATTGTCTGCTGGGAAAGTGCGCAGGGGTATCTCTTGTCTCTTCTACCCAAAAAGCTTTTGGAAGGTTTGTATCCTTTCTGCACACCAGAGTACAGTAATTAATTCACAGATCACATCTCGGTTATCTCAAGTCATTCCCAAGACAGCAGCTAAGAAAAGAAGAAAGGATAGCTGAGGGGGCTCAAGATTTTTTCAGTGGACCGATCATTGATCTGCTGAAGTTGCAAATTAATTCAGTGACACCTTGGCTTCTGTAGGGAGCCAGGCGGTTCTCAGCTCCAGCCTTAACTGAAAAGGGAAAGACAGTGTCTCGAACGGACCAGTACGAGGCAGCAGACAGCCATCAAGCAGGTTGTCTAACAAAGATGGCAAAGCGGTTATCACAGGCAACCTGACTTGTGATGAGAAATGATGCTATCATTCTTTTTATTAAAGGAACTGATTTAGATAAGCGCACAATGGCTTTAAACTTTTATTGAAGATTGCAGTCAAAATTAGAATAAATGAAGTCACATTAAAAATAAAATATTCTGTTGAATCCTATAACCTCATTTGAAAAAATCCTAGAATAATGAACCATGGTAAAGAATAGCAAACCACAGTTTCCCCCCTCCCCCAAAACAGTTTGTTTATTAGGATTCTAGGCTTCTCACGTTGATTCCCACAGCATTGTACCGTGGTAAATATACTATGTTATTATTACTATATTCCTTGGTTACTCTAGAACAATTGATCACACTTCAGTTTATATGTCCATAATTGCATTATAAATGGATAATAAGTGTAACTGTTAAAAGTATTAACAAGTTACCCTGTGCAAAGGTATGGGTTCTGGTTCAGCCTACGGTCAGGGTTGGATTGTGTTACCACCTTGTGATTAATCTGCAGCAAATATTGGTTATCATCACACTTATGTCACTCTGTTAATACAGTACTAATAAAGTTTGAGTGGGGAATTATGGCAATATACTGACACTAAGGAATAGAAATATGCCATATATTAATAAAAGCAGAAGTAGTTATAATTCCACACCGAACACCAAGTTCCTCACATGTAAGGTGGCTCCACAGACAAAACCTTGTGTCTTCCTTCTTTCTTTCTATTTTTTAATGTGAAATAAACCTCTATATGTTTCGTTATTAAAATAGACCATTTCTAAAACATTTTGTCATGGTGTTTCATCAGGACTAAAAATACAAAGATAGCTATGCCAGCCAGGATTTATTTTGTTGTATGAGTGGAAACTTGCTTGTTTTTTCTTGTTCAGTTATTTGTTCTCTTTTCTTCTCTGACCAGATAATCCATGCATTTCAGTTTTCTCAAATATGTGCAAACCTGATACTGTGCAAACCAGGATTTATATTGGCTGGGTTTCCTTGTAACTTTGTGTTGTGGGAATCAGTGAGCATTCTTCTAGTAACACAAATCAGACTCTTTAGATCATGACCTACATTAACTGCTCTTAACACAAAGTAAAGATGGGTGGGGAGGTCATTCAAAAAACGCACTGTTGATCCTGAAATCTCTTGTTTCTTATGACAAAAAAAGTAAACCAGAACAAGGAAAAACTCTTGTTGTTATATAACCATTGCAAGAAGTGGCTCTTGGGAAAGGTAGGTAACTTTTCAAACTGTCTTTCTGAACTTGAATTCCCACTCCCACCCTATGAGAAAACTGGTTTTCCCATTTGGTCATCTTAGTTACGCCACAGACATTATTCCCCAAGGCCATCATGTCGTTTCTAATTTGCTTCATCTCACTTTTTCCACTCCTCCAATGTACTCCCATTTCTCACCACCCTCTGCCTCCAACTCTCCGCCTCTGCCAGCCCTCTCTGGGGTAATGCAACGGCGGCACCCTTTTCCTCCCTTTACTATGCCTGCCCCCTGTTCCCCGAGGAGCTCCAACTCTTCAGTGACATTAGACCTGCGAGCTACAGTTAAGGAAGGTGCTTCTGTGTCAGTGGAGCTCTGCTACTGCCCTGCTGCTTTGCTCCTCTGCTGCATGTCTTCCACTGAGGGCGAAAATCCACACCCATCCTGCCCAACAAGCCCACGAGGCAAGACTGCTGACTCGCTCTCTCATTTCAGCTTACAGAAATTCAAGCAGTAGGTTCCTGGAGCGCAACCCAGACTGACTCTGATTACTGTCTGGATATAGTATTCCTCTGAAGCAAAACCTTAGAGAAATTAGTCCCCCACTCTCGGCACTCCGCCTGGATGGCTTGGGAGAGATTTCAGCAGTGCACCTCTCTTTTAACCTTCACTTTCCTCCATTTTCCCTCTTGGTGAAACCCTCATTATTATTTAAAACAAAATCTCCAGGTGTGAATTTCCTCTCCAGTGGCGTATCTCTGTGGCATTCATATCCTTCACAAAGTTGAGAACAGAACCCTTTGCACATGCACAGAGCTGCAGTATGCCGGCATATCAGGTCTTTCCTTTCAAATAACTCTCCTGTTCCACCTCAAGTGTAGTAAGACAGATCAACTCAGAACAACTCAGTTAATGCACATGCAGTTCCAAGACACTGCTTTCTCTTCCACTTGGGAGACGTTCTGATGAAGCCATGCAGCCATTCATTCCAAGTAGGAGCCACATCCTCTCCATCTGGATGTAGAATTCCAGACCACAGGATCAAAATACTTGGCTGTTGGTTTTCGGAAGCCTACCGGACGAATGTGAAGACTAGTGTCACAGACCTGAGGACATTGGGTGTTCCTTGATAGAATTATGCACTGGGATTTTCTCCACTAGCAGTCATGGGGTCCCACTTTGTCACTTCTGAGGCTTGTATATTTTTTCTATATGGCTAGGCCAATGCCACTCTATGCAAGTGGGTTAAAATCAAAGTAAATTATTGAACATTCACAATCCTGTCACAGGGAATTAGGTTCTAAAGATGACTCAGTCACTCCTGATTACTGTTCAAAGGAGAGCAGGCAGTCAGAAAAGATGCACTTAAAAATTAAGAGCCCTAATTGCATAACAGGCTGCTCTGCAACCAGCCTCTGATCTTGGGAAAACACTGCAAGGGATTTCTTTGCTTGAGCAGGAAGAGCAGCACAGCGATGCAAGACACTGAAGTACTGAGAAACCGAAGTTCAGTGATCCCGCATATTGTCAGACGAGCGACCGCAACAACCACCACTGCTCCTCTATCACTCTTTGTGATTTCAGCCTCTTAAACTGTGTTGCCATGTGGTTATTTTCTGTTTTATTATCTTGACTGTCCTCTGGAATTGAGTGTAAGTACTAGTGACACAGGATGAGAAATTACAATCACATGTCTAAAAAATTATTAGCAGCAGTCCAGTAGATAGAAAGGAGCAGTTCTGGTTCTTGGTTCAGTTTTGGGAGGGTGGGAGATGGGTCTTAAATGTCCAAATAGAAAAGGCTGGCAAATTGATGTGCTTCCAGGAAAACATCTGCATTGATTAACAGTTATTCAGTATAAGGTTTCTTTTTAGAGACCTGTCTTGATTTGAAGTGTGTTATATGATGTACTGTAGAAAGCACTACGTTAGAACTAGCCTAAGATATGACAATTTGTCAGATTAACCCACCCAGGATCACCCTGCTATAGGGCATCGCTCCAGGGAGGGGAAAGATGGTGTGAGAGAAGTCTTCTGAAGGAATCCTTTCAAATGCCTTTATTTTTGTTGAGCCATCTTGAACAGTCACAGCCCTTATGGCTCATGTTTTCCAGGGGCCTCTGGGTCCAGGCCTGAGTGTGCGAGTGCTACACTATCAGTGAAGGCTCCACAGATCTATTTGTCATTCAAAAGGCACAAGAGAGTTTTAATACTTGCCTCCTTTTCTTCATTCGTGTTGACTTTTTCAAGATATACTGTATGTGTTTTTTCATACGATGTTCAGGAGCACAGTAACACTCAGGATACAAGTACAGGAAGATAGAACAGGAAGGTGAACTATATAGTGAGATTTAATTTTTGCACTGAACTGTGTTAAATATGGAATCACTTAAATGTTAAAACTGAGAACAGATGGCACTTCCTTACCCAAAGAGTTGTGGAAGTATGGAAGAACTACCAAGACACATTATTGATGTTATTAATACCTGAATATGAATACCCTAGTTTCTTTCAAGAAATGACTGAATGAGAACTTTGGATGAGTTAACTACTAACCACCAAACGGGCTGAAGGACCGAATGGTCTCCTGCTTATAACCTTCTGTATCTGTTGAAGGGAGTGATTTCCTCTGCGGTGCGCGACTGACGGGCTCTGTCTCTGCCGGCAGGCTGCGAGCTGTACGCCTTCTGCGGCGCTCTGTTCGGAATCTGCTCCATGATCACGCTCACGGTGATCGCGGTGGACCGCTACTTTGTCATCACGCGCCCACTGGCCTCCATCGGAGTGATGTCCCGGAGGCGCGCTCTGCTCATCCTCTCCGCGGTGTGGACGTACTCACTGGGCTGGAGCCTGCCCCCTTTCTTCGGCTGGAGTGAGTGGGGGCGGGGCCCAGGCTGTGACATAAATAGAAACAAGCAGCTTTGAAGTGTTTTTTGCGTAAAGTAGCATTTGTGAAACAGCAAATGGTGGAAATTCAGCTTGATGTTGCTACACACACATGTGGAGATGTATTTCAAAGACATGTTTTTAGAATGAATCTAAACCTTAAAATCTATCCCTGTGTCTCTTTTCTGTCTACTCTGATCCTATTTACAAACATTTGTTTTGCCTTTTTCAAAAATCGTTGGAGGGTGATTTTAATGTTTTGTCTGTTGACTGAGGCAGTCTAGGTTGTTAGAGTGATCTGTGTGCCAGGTGGGCATGCTTGGACACAAAGGGGATGGGGAAGGGGGAACAGCAACACAGTGTGTCTTGCGAAATCAGGCCTGTCATAGAAGGAGACAGCACGCAGGACAGGAACTGTGGGAGAATGTGTTCAGGAGAGGTCTCACAAAAGTTGGACTGTGAGAGAACTGATCCACCCAGCCACCATCATCATCATTAGTGATTCCACTGTGCGCTGTGGGGGGCGGGTGTCACTCCACACCAGCTGGTACAGAGCAACCTCGTGTTTCTGGTTGCAAAAAGGCTCCCCTTAAAAAGAAAGAATTTGTTCAAGCAGCCATTAGACAGAAATTCTGTTCTTGTTTTTATTATTGTTTTCTTTCTGTTTTTACATGCCTGTTTGGAATTCTGACACTTAAAAGCTGCATGTCAATAGCTCTGAAACAGTGCAGGTACTGAGATGTGATTTGGTTTTAACCCTCTTGACTAATGGAACAGCCTGGCCTTATGGACACGACCATTTGATTCCTGCAGTAAGAATGAATGAGTGAAGGCAGCATTCTAACAATTACATCTGGAAATGTGGTGTTTGTTATCCATATTCATTTCTGAACACCCATTATAAACTCCAGTTTTATGGAAAATGAGTGACACTGCTGTCAGGAAATATACTTAGAGGACCCCATGACGACCTGACTCTTCCCATTCAAACTGTCCACAGCTTTGTGGAATTGCTGCGCCATTTCATAAGTGATGCACTGTTTCACTGCTACAAGGGAGTCTGTCAATATCAGTCTATTACATTAGTAAGCTAAGCGATAATCCATCCATTCATCAGTCTTCTAACCACTTCTTCCAATTCAAGGTCACGGGGGAGCCAACGTCTGTGCTGGCTGTCAACGGGTGTAAAGCAGGGTACACCCTACAACCTATAGGTTGCCAGTCCATTGAAGGGCAGACAGACAAACCTCCAACACACACTAACACCAGGATAATATCCCCATAAATACACATACAGAAACCACAGTGTTGTGGGAACACTTTGCATCCCATTAAAAAAAAACTCCTCAGCTCCAGACTGACAAACATGATGATTCTTTGTTAAAATGTTTTTTTTTGGAAAAGTAGTGCAGCCAAGACTTGTGAAGAGATGACAGTAAGAGAGGAGACAAATGGGGATGCTTAAGAAAAGGAATCTGAAAGTCAAAGAAATCAGATGTGATGAACTCAAAATTCCAGAAACTCAGATGAATTCAGAACAAACAGTGACACACAAACCAGGGGGCTCAAGTAGAAACTATGGGGAAGTGCATTTGAAACTGAGAACAGGAGACTGTTCTTTATCCGAAGGGCTATGGGAGTCTAGAAGCCATGTGGTTGAAACTGATTTACCAGCTTCTTTCAAGAACAAGCAGGATGAGATCAATTAGCTACTAACAACCATACGACCTAGATAGACAGAACGGCCTCTTCTTGTTTGTCTCTGTTCCTCTGATCTAACTGGTAAAACAGTAAACGAGAAGTAGAGCCAATCAGAAGAGAGATGCCTGCTAATGGATTCAGGAGGTAATTAGTGGCACTTATTGGCACTCTCTATACTGCTTATTCACATTGTTTGTTTTCCCTCCTGTATAAAGAATTTCTGCTTCTGTTTGAAAAGAGATGGCTCCAGGCCGGGACAGACTAACCGCGCAGACTCCAGGACAACCAAAGATGTGTCTGCAGCCCAGGGTGCTGAGACTTACTGTACAAAGCTTGTCAGTTTTCTTCATGTCGAAACATAAGAAAGCAGAATTCCTGTGTCTTTTACGTGTTTAAAAGAAACACAATGTCGGAAAGATAAAATGCAAATGCTCATGAAGTGCTTCTGGCCTTAGAGGAATTAGAGTTCCTTAGAGGAACTTCAGCTTTCCTGATTTTTAGTTATTTTCTTTTTTGAAATGGGGATATTTAAAGCTAACAAAAAGAAGTGGCAACATCACTTCGGAGCTGTAATATTTTTGTGTTGTAATGAGCATGTGTGGCACTAGTTAGTCTGGGCTCTGGGAAGATTATACCGTAGGCAAGACAACGGTAAAGAAATAAATTCCTTACTGCATGTTTTAATCATACTGTAACTTGTGGAAAACATCCCTATGTTTTAATGTATTCCAACTGCTAAATTATTAATTTACTGTATATCTAAATGTTTTTCAGGGTACAGAATGATATCTGTGTTAAATATAAATATTAAATCGATATTTCATTCAAAATTCCAGAGAATTTTGGTGTATTTTTTCAGTAGTCTCTCAGTATTTAGTAGTCTCTCAGTATTCTTTTTAGTACTTAAAAAGAAATCTCCTCATTTAATTAATGAACATTGAAAACATAGTACCTACACACCTAAATCAGAGATTTTGCAATTGCAGGAATGATGAAACCCTTTTTAAAACCCAGGGTATGGACCTATCCAGAGTTCAGTTTCAGTATTTCAAGAGGTGATCCCCCAGAACTGAGGATTTTTCTGGGTTTCCCACAGAAGTACCACAGCGGTGCTGTTAATGTCAGCCTTCTCAATGATCATATGCATCAGGCCCTGCTCACACAGTGTCACAGGCCCCGACTAATCTGTTGATGTGTGCTGTATTTTATGCTTGCAGTTGTGTTTCAGTTGATGTGCCTTTGCACCAGAGCTGCTTGTTTCAGTTCAGTTGGCTGTGTGTAACACTGTCAGAGAGTAGTTGAGCAAGCGGGCGGTTCTGTCTCTCCCCAGGCGCCTACGTCCCCGAAGGCCTCCTCACCTCCTGCACTTGGGACTACATGACCTTTACCCCCTCGGTGCGAGCCTACACCATGCTGCTCTTCACATTCGTCTTCTTCATCCCACTGCTCATCATCATCTACTGCTACGTCTTCATCTTCCGAGCCATCCGCGCCACCAACAAGTGAGTCCCTGGCCAGTCTCCCGCAGGCCGGGCTGGGAGGGAATTGTCACAGTGGCACTTCCTCACGTTTCAAAACTGAGAGGTATTTCAGACATGCTTTGACATTTATGAATGCATGTGGGATAAATGTCGAAGTGTTTCTGAATTTTTTATATCTGAATTTAAAACTTTTCTGGATCTATTTTTAAACCCTGTTTCAGTATCCCGAAGGGCGTGCTCTGTAACTTACCTTTTGAGCAAGAGGCTTATACTGTAACTCTGCTCCTCAATCTATCAGGTTTTGTACATTTATTTAAAACACGAACAGCTGCAGACATGTATGAAAGGGCTCGGCTAGTTGAATTAAACCAACGTCACTACATAACTCAAGATGAGCTCAGGTCGAATGAGAAGTGGGGCATGATGTAGCCAGTGAGAACTGGAGATGAGACAAGGGCTCCTAATTTACAGCCCAGGCCTTCAGCTGGGGACTCTGAAGGTATGAGGGTCATGTTAGTTTTTACAGCAGCCTGTTAAGGTGAGCCTTGTGAAAAACATTTTGGACAAAACATCAGCTCCATCATAAATAACAGATATGTTCAAAGGGAAATAATTGCAGTTTTTGAATTCAAGCTATAAATAAGACACCTACTAAAACATTTAAGAAACAAAACACATGTTTACTGCTAGCTTTTATTCCTGTGGTGCTGAACAGTGAGTCTCTGATATTACGAGCTCCCGATTTGCTCACAGCAGCTACTGGAGCTCACACCCCCCCATCTACCCCCATTATCTCTGCACCCAGCCCGTGCGGTGTGAGAAATGTGAGATGGCCTGTCATGTGACAACCAGTGTAGCTGGCCAGTTTCTGCAGGGTGCCCTATTGTCTCAGGCTGCCAGTGTGTTTAACTTACCACTCCTGTTTAGTTCAGCACAGAAAAGGAAAGGAATGTGGCCCCAATGCTCATGTATTAGACTCTGTCAGGATGCTCTTCATAGTTCCTCTCCTCCTGTGGAGTCCAGTGTAAAAAATGAGACATTCTGTATAGATGGCTCAGAATAAAGGCTGAGTGAGGAACTACAGGATCTGTAAAGATGGGTTGCACACCCAGTGAGTCTTGAGAACGACCAGTGTGGAGCTCTCAATGAGCAGGCAGGTGTCCTTCCACAGAGAGACACACAGTTGTCTGGGTTTGCCCTCCTGTGTTGGAGTTACAGAGTGGGAATATATCAAATGTAGCACTGAAGATTGAGGTTCTTGTTGTTGTGTGGGGGTGGGCAGTGGGTCATTCTGTGTTTGTGTGCCTCACACAGGGCTGTTAGCAAGATCAACAGTGACGACAGCAAGCAGTCTCTGAAGAAGTACCAGCGGCTGAAGAACGAGTGGAAGATGGCTAAGATTGCTCTCATCGTGATCCTCCTCTATGTCCTCTCCTGGTCTCCCTACTCTACTGTGGCCCTCACAGCCTTCGCAGGGTAAGGACAGGACAGGCTCGGCACTGAGGTGCAGAGTGAGGATTATTGACTATTGAGTGCGTCCTCTTTCAAACAGCTGCTTTCAGAGAGAAGGATTAGCGTGGAGTGTTGTGGAGAGCAAGTATTATGTTGTACACTATGTTCTTGGATTCATATGACATTAAATTCTTGTGCTCTATACACAATATTCCACATTCTTTGGTGATTTGGTGATACACATACTATAGATATTAAGTCATTCACAGTAAGTCATTTTCTCAGAGATGTTTGTAGAGGGATTCATTTTTCTATGTGGGAGGTATTAAAGACAGAGATGCAGTAGGTAAATGAGAAAATGTGAGAAATACTGTTTTATGGGAGATGTAAATCTTTCTGAAGCCCTACCATCTTGAAACTCACAGCCTTGACATAGATAATAAAGTAACTAGTATAGAACTTAAACGAGAGAGAGCAGACACCAACAGATAAGTTTCAGGTAGTGTGGCCTTGTGAATCAAGTGGGTACCTGATGAAGAAAGATGACCTCTTCCTTTCTCCACTCAGCAGAGAAACATAAAGAAACATATTCTCATTGCACACAAGCTTAATACACCTGTTGCTACTTTAAAACCAGGGCTCTGCAAATGTGCTGAAATGTACTAAAACGTTTAGATACAATACCTGTTGTATGTACATGTACTGTAATATCTGACATATTCCAATCCATTTTATTCAAATTTATCTAAAATGCACTTCCGGTGAGTGACACTAGATGAGTCATGACGAGTGACACTATGATCTGAAATGCAACCATTTCCTCCAATGTTCTGCATACTTCCCCAGGTACTCAGATGTCCTCACCCCCTACATGAACTCCGTGCCAGCTGTGATCGCCAAAGCCTCAGCCATCCACAACCCCATCATCTATGCCATCACACACCCCAAGTACAGGTAACTGTGTCGCAGAAAGACAATTTCTGACTGTGTGATTCCTGGCTCCATGCTACACTCCAATCAGGAGGTGTCAGTGGTTGAACTCACAGAGCTGTTAAGGGGGACCGAGCAGGGTGTGACTCATCTAAAAAGTGACTTGTGCACATTTTCCCTTGTTTGCACTTTGCACTAGGCCAGCAGCTAGAAAGAGGTAAGCTTTCACGAGTTGGTCGATTGTGTTAATAAGACCAACAATCTTTTAGATGTTACTAAGAAGTTGGTCTTGGGCAGCATTGTGGTGCAGTGACCCAGCAGTGCTGAGACCCTGGGTTCAATTCCTGCACTGCTATCTGTGTGGAATTTGTATGTTCTTGCTGTGTCCGCATGTAATTCAAGTTCTTCCCACAGTCTAAAGGCATGTTGGTACTGTAGGTTAATTAGCTTTTGAGAAAACTGCCCTGGTGTGAGTGTCTGTGTCTGTATGTGACCCACAATAAACTGGCATCCCGTCCAGGGTGTATCCTGCCTTGCGCCTGCTGTTTGCTGGGATAAGCTCTGGATACCCTGCGACCCTGAATTGGAAGAAGTGGTTAGGAAATAGATGGATATAGCAATTAAGGTAATGATGTAAAGGCTATGAATAAAAAGCAAAAGGTATGTAATGATTTGCTCAGTGGTTGGGCGTTTTGTAGGGAAAGTCCTCTTGTGTTACAGAAGATGTTGTGCAATAAAGGCTCCTTTGAACTGTTTTCTTTGTGCATGGTGAGTTGTCATGTGCTTGGCCTCTGAACCACTTGCTACAGTAGATGTCGAGCCTGTCACAGTCCTGTTCTCAGTTGTACATGATGCAATATAGTGTAGGCCTCTGCAGATGTGTTCCCCGTGTCCCAGCTGTGTGCCCAGCTGTTTGAATAGGCCAACCTACTTCATAGGCACCCTGTGCATTACTGTGTGTTATCAGCTTAACCAATTTATGCAGCCATATCACTCTGCAACTCACAACTGACAACCCACTGAAACTAAGCAGGTCTGTGCGTGGTCAGTACCTGGATGGGAGACCTTCTGGGAAACACTAAGGTGGCTGTTGGAAGAGGTGTTAGTGGAGCCAGCAGGGGGCTCTCACCCTGTGGTCCATGTGGGTCCTAGTGGCCCAGTATAGTGATGGGGACACTATACTGTAAATAGGTGCCATCCTTCAGATGAGATGTAAAACCGAGGTCCTGACTCTCTGTGGTCATTAAAAATCCCAAGGTGTTTCTTGAAAAGAGTAGGGGTGTAACTCATTGGTGTCCTGGCCAAATTTCCCATGGCCCTTACCAATCATGGCCTCCTAATAATCCCCATCTATGAATTGCTTTCATTACTCTTCTCTCCTCCCCGCTGACGTGTGGTGAGTGTTCTGCTGCACATTAGTGGTGGTGGAGGGGAGTCCCCATTACCTGTAAAGCGCTTTGAGTGGAGTGTCCTGAAAAGTGCTATATAAGTGTAGGCAATTATTATTATTATTATTATTATTACAAGAATGTGTAGAGATTAATTTATTTTTACTGAAAAAAGCATGAAATGCACCATGTGTGTGATACCTAGGAAGGGTGTTATAGCTCGAAAGAGTGTATTTTACTCCTTTTGACTTTTCTACATGAAATGAACCTCATCAGCTGCATGCTGCTACAGCTTCCTGTCTAGCTTTGTCATGGCCTAGAGCAGCATGGGAAAGCACTGGTATGGTCTTGCGAGGAGGCAGTGGAGTCATGCTGTCCCAGTGTGAAGTGAGAGAGCCTTGTTGTCAGGTCTCCGTGTGACACAGCGCACTCACGCTCTGATCTCGGGGTTGCAGGTCAGCTATCGCTAAGTATATCCCCTGCCTTGGTGTCCTGCTGCGAGTCCCCCGAAAGGACTCCCGCTACTCCAGCAGCTTCCAGTCCACCCGACGCTCTACTGTCACCAGCCAGTCCTCCGAGATTAGCTCTGCCTACCACCACGGCGGCAAGTCCCGCCTCTCCTCCGCCTCCGACAGCGAGTCTGTAAGCACACCACTGCCTGTGTGTCCGAGTCTCACTGCACACACTCTCTCCACAATCCTCCTTACTCTCCAGCTTTTGCTCCTCACTCTCTCAACACTCCTCCTCACTCTCCAGCTGTTTCACCTCACTCTCTCCACACTCCTCCTCACTCTCCAGCTGTTTCACCTCACTCTCTCCACACTCCTCCTCACTTTCCAGTTCTTCCTTTTCACTCTCTCCACACTCATTCTCACTCTCCAGCTGTTTCAGCTCACTATGCGCTCCTCCTCACTCTCCAGCTGTTCCAGCTCACTCTGTGCTCCTCCTCACTCTCCAGCTGTTTCAGCTCACTGTGCGCTCTTCTTTATGCTTCAGTGAGAGTTTTCTGCACCTGTTCCCTTTCTTGATCATTAACTATAATATTACCTACAGTATATTAACAATATTAATAATATTGACTATAATATTAATATTATTATATTAATCATAATATTACTGTATTAGGTAAATGTCCCTGCTGTCTTATACTTTACAGCAGCAGTTTGGCAAACACTTGTAAACAAAGGTTACTTTGTCTAGTTGGCCACAATGTGGACAGTCACTAAGAGCAGCCCTGTCTACTGTGATGAACCATGAGTTACATGAGTTTTCTCTCTCAGGGCTGGACAGACACTGAGGCAGAACTATCTAGCATTAACTCGCGCCCAGCCAGCCGTCAGGTCTCCTGTGAGATCAGTAAGGACACAGCAGAGGTGGGCAACTATAAGACCAAATCCAAGCTGAAGAGTCATGACTCTGGTGTCTTCGAGAAGGTAACCACCCAGGCCGAGCCAGGCCTGTGCCGCCGTCAACATGTGAGTGCTCACAGCAGAGGGGCAGCATGATCACAGCACTGCGCCATGCACACCACTGGGGGACTGAAGACCCTGTTCTTTAGACCCTTTAGAGTTTCTCTTTAGCCTTCTCACAGAATGACTTAGATTGATTTTACTGACTCCTGGCTGTCTAAAAATGGAATATAAAAACTGTCTTAGATTCCATGTTTTTATACTTTCTGCTAGTTTTACTACAATTGGTGCTCCTAGGAGCTATCTCAAATTATTTATAAGTAGAATCGAAAACTGTGCAAAAGCAATGCAGAAACGAAGACATAAGTACAGTAAATTCTCCTTTACACTAGTAAATTCCGGTGTCAAGATGTTCCCTGGCATCAGTGTATCCCTGAATCATGCTACTCCTCTGCTTTTCTAATAACTGGGTCAATTTTGCTTTAAAAAAACAATATTGGATATATTCTGTTAGGAAACAGAAGTCAAATTGGGCACGTCATGTAAATTGTGGATTGTAAACCAATAGCTTTTGTATAAAGTTGAAATATTTCCTAATCCAGTATTACACTGAGACGGTATTACAGTATTTCAAGGTCATCGGCTGTCAGGCAGCCCGACAGAAAGTGACACACAGCCTCAGGCCCTCTATACTGTAGATAAAAGGGATTTGATTGAAGACTTTTAAATGTGTGGCTCCTGGGGAGGAAATCTCCCACGACTAATAGAAATCAAAGTGCTTGCCAATGACGGCTGCTCTATCCGTCATGTTTCGTTCAGTGCTGTTTGTAAGACCTTGAGGGGCGTTGAGAAATCAGTGCAGCTAACAGTATAAGTGGTTAAGGAAGAAAACCCAAGCTGTCTGCAACAAGTATCAGGTTCTGCAGTGTAAATGGAGATCTTGCTGCAAGTGCAGGATTGACATTTCTTCAAGAACAGTAAGATGCAGATTAGAATGGTTTCTATGTGATTTTGGGACCATTTTGTGTTACCATGTATCCTACTGGCCCTAAAGTGTTGCTGCGCTGGAGGTTTGGGTTCAGTTGCAGACTGGGATGCTACTGTATCTGTGTGGAATTTGTATGTTCTCCACAATTTCATGTGGGTTTCCTCTGGGTGCTCCAGTTTCCCCTCATAGTCCACAAACATACTGGTAGGTCAATCGACTTCTGGGAAATTGGTCCTGGCTCCAGTGTGTGTGGTTGTGTCTATGTGTGTCTTGCGCTGGACTGGAGTTGCATCCAGGACGTATAGTGCCTTGTGCCCATTGGGGCCGGGAAAGGCTTCAGCTCCCCAGTGACCCAGAATTGGGAGAAGCAGTTAGAAAATGAATGGATGGTTTTATCTTACTGTTCTTGAAGAAACATTAATTTCTTAACAAAGTTTAGTAATTTCTTACGAAGCTTAAGAGCTGTGTTAAAATCAACATAATATTGCATGAAATAACACTTCATTTTTACACAAAAGCTACAGTTTAATTCTATAACTTGTCATTTTCACTATAAAGCCACATTGTCCTGCATTTCTGTAACTATATCCGTAACTGTGTGTCCTGATGCATTTTTGATTTGCCTAAAAGGAAGGCATATGATTAAGTGAGCAGCTGATACATGAACAATTGATTTTTCCATTCATAAGGCAAATTGACACCACACAGTTCCCCCTCTGCTCCATCAACAGAAAGTCAATTTCCTGAAGCAAACAGCATAATCATTCATGTTGAAAATCCTTTCACATGGTTATTTAGTTTGATTGTATATACCATGAAAGACCATTGTAAAATCATATAGTTTTCCCACATTCAGGATGATTCAGCACAACAGGCTGTGCTCTGTGTGGATTCCATTTTTATGTCACTGTATTTTTATGACATAAGAACCATGGCTTTGGTAATTGGAGCAAATAATAAAGAAAAATCTTACATTCTTTATATCACCTTCCGCCCCAAAGTGCTCTCTTTATCTCCTGATGAAGTGCACCTCCACCCGAATGGCACACAGCACTTCAGGGATGGGACTGAGAAAAAAAGACTTCAGGAATTTAATTAAGGGGGACATTCTGTTCCAGAGAGAAGAGCGCCATCTACTGATGCATTAACGCCTCTTGCAGGAGCGACCCAGATTTCTTTGGAAGACCCATCCCAGTAGTGACCAGGCTTCTTGTCATTGTGGTACCTGTAGACTGAATTGTCATTCCAGAGCTGTGCTTACAGGAGGAGACAATATTTTATAATCTGTTCTGTTTACTGGCATTTTACCATCGCACTTAGAAATATTTTAATATGCTTTAATAGAACTTGCCACCTTTTATGGAATACTACCCTGGTTGGTAAATGCAGCTAAAAGAACATATGAGAGTCCACATGATTAATATTATTAATAATTAATTAATAGTATTAATAATCCTCTAAGGCTCTGACAAAGAATCTTATAAGTTAAACAATGACACAAGTGGAAACTATGGGAAAGTGTGTTTAAAACCGACAATAGGAGGCACTTCTTTTCACAAAGGGTTTTTGGGAGTGTGGAACAAATGGACACCCTGAGATACTGGGATCAGTCAACTACTAACTACCAATGGTCTAGATGGTCTATATGGCCTCCTGTCCTCTGTAACTTGATTTATTTTGTTATTCTGAAAGATAACATACAATTTTAACATTAACACCTTATAAATACTGGACATAATGTGCAGCTGACAGTTTTCGTATGAAAATGCCTGGGTGTATAATTATTATAAATACTGTGTATATATTTACTTTTAAATGAGACATCTTCGGGTATGCAACCTGCTTGTTTATATATGAATAGATTTAGAAGCTAGATGTCCTCTAGTACATTTCCAAAGAAAAAATTAGCCACAAATCCCTGTGTTGCCTGCAGGGTGACATGAGATTTGAGGATCACTTACAGAGAGTCCTGCCCTATGGTGTTTCAACAAGTATATATTTTTCTGCCCCAGTGCAGCAGGGGGCTCCAGCAGGCTCATCCAAGATGTGAAAACTCAGTGAAAGAGATGTCTGAACAGCAGCGCAGAGTGGGCAGGGCTCTGGACTTGTAATTGGAAGGCAGTGGGTTTAAATCTTGATGGAGCATAGCTCTTGTTCTGTTCAGCCAGGAGCTCAGATTGATTCGGTGAAAATACCCAGCTGTACAAATGGCCACAATGGTAAAGCCTTAGTCAGCTAGACTGAGGATAATGAAAAGATGAAGCTCATCAAGCTGTCTGTTCGGAGTGCTGATTAATGGCCAACAATCCCCTTGAAAAGGACACAGAACACCCCCACGCTGTCCCCTGCACCTCTCTCCAGTGATGAGAAATGTCAAGAGTCTGAGGAAGAGTTTGGCAAGGAGTGAGAAGCATGTCATCATATTGAGGAGTGGTTGTGTTACCAATGCTCACTTTGTGAAATATCATGTAAAAAATAGAGAGACCCCTGCAAGAGAAAGGAGGTCATGAGTCACAAAATTGTGAAAATGGATCACGATGTCCTCAGCCTCGTTAGCACAGGAAACATTCACAGGGTGGTACAATGTAGAATGCATTTCAGTATAAAAATAGAAGAACCAGCTAGGGCTGAAATACTTCTTTGACCAACAAGAAGCTTGCCTCAACGAGTGGCATGACACAGAATCACTGAGCTGGACCTGTACTCCCAGTGAGCCCCTGAGCTGGTTGAAGCACCTGGAGGCCCATAAAGGTATTAATGAAGAAGACACAGTCTCTCCAAAACAGGTCACAGCAATGCTCAAAGATGCATTTGGGATGCTTTACCAGCAAGAAGAAATAAAGACTAAATAGCCTATTTCATCCATGTTTTATCCTGCCAGGAATATAGTCCCAGATAACTAGAGTTTCCCATTCAGATTGAGACTAATGGGCAAGAATTTAACTTGAGCATCAACAACAGAGAACCATAGTCATCAAGTGTCAAGATGACTATGATACCTGACAGAAGAACTGAAGCAGATTCTGTGGGAACTGGCCAGACCAGAAACGGACTGTAGAGGCAGTGGAATGGAAGAGAAATCGACACAAGATGTAGGATTCAAATCAGAGGTTCTGCTGTATTAACCCAGTGGAGGGACAAGTATGAACAAAAAGATTCTAAGTACTTTGAAGTCTTATATTGTTTTTATTGTAAGGGTTTGCATTATGAGCCTTAGCAGTGTAGAGGACTGGATAGCAGCACTCTGAATAATTAATTACAGCAACCAGAAGTTCCAGGTTTTCTATTTAGGTCGGGTCAAGAGAGGCCAATAGAGAGGATAAATACTGTAAAACTCCACTATTGTGCAATTATTGTGGGCTTTAATTCCTTGGTCTAATCTAGTATGATCTTGAAGATAATCCTCTTCAGACACTTTACCCACCCGGCCAGCCTCACTGCTCCTATTTCACTGGGTCTTGAGATCCTGTCAAGATGGCACCTTAGCTGAGCCCAAAGAGTGCAGTCTTGTCAGGTCACATGATCAGCAACTTGGAGGAATGAAGCTGAAAACAAGCGACTCACCAAATTCAGCTCCTGTCGCTACTCCTTTCCAATGATGACAGACTGTCACCACAGACCTTCTGAGATCTTGTCAATAATTATTCCTCTGAGGTCTTTATTGATGCTATACTGCAGCTTACAAAGCTACAACTGTGAAAGATTTTGGTTTCTGTTTTTCTTTGTGGCAACAAGAAAAACAGCGTCCTTGTTTTTTTTTTGTTTGTGTTGCCATGTGATCACAAGGCCAGTGCAGAACTCAGCCCTGTGAGATCACATGTACAGTTTGTGTCACTGCATCAGAGGCAAAAGTCAGCAGTGTCTCGGTCACTTTGCACATTATGCATAGCCTGACAGAGACACTCGTGGTCCAGGCCAATATACTGTATAGTATATACCACAGATGAGGAATGCTGTGGACTATGGGAAAATTGCACAATATCTGGGGCTGCTCTTTTCACTAAGGCAGGGAAATTATATTTCAGTTGTATGTTCAATCTTCTGTGCACATCTGATGCTCAATAGAAGTTCTCATTTTTTCCTGCTCTCTAATAGACATCTGTGGATGCTGACGACATCTCAATGGCTGAAGTGAACCTGTCCGAGCGCAGCTCTCCCCCCACTGTGAGTTCTGCCTGCTTATTGCTGTGTTTGGGGATACTGGTAACCAGAGGGCTCTTAAACACACAGAGCTCTTGATTGCTGCCATTGGGTCTTATTTGCCCGACATGTCTTTAATCTTTGCATGAGCTCCTCCCATTGTCTCTCTAGCTGAGGCGATGCTAACCACTAATCCCAGAGCTCATTCTATTTACATTTCAGGCCTACAGTCTTCCAATTTAGTAGATTTTTATAGTTTTGTGTTAATTTTCACCAGCCGTTAAACAAGATATCCAGGTAAATATTCTTTTTACCATAACAGAGATAAAAGTAATGCACAATAATCACAAGTATGATGTTTAACATCCTTATAGCTCCCAGTCTTGACTTCCATGATTCTTCAATATGCAGACATGTCCCTACTACAGTTAATTCTCTATTGGTCACTGACCACTGAGTAGCATCTCACACACATCCAGTGCAAACCAGACGTGGTGCTTCTCTCCAGATGTGTGTATTTCTAAACCATCCAGCATGAAATAATGTGCCTCATGATATGAAAGCTGACTGGGACATCAAGTAACAGAAGATTATTTTCTTATTTTGTGCCAATAAGACCTTTAAGTTAACCCATAAGTTAATAGGAGGGAAAAATGGAGATTTATTCCAGGACAGACAAAATATGAAAACCATATGAAACAGAAGCAATTTGGGGTGCCATGGTGGTGCATTGTTAGCATTGCTGCCTCACAGTGCTGGGGCCCTGGGTTCAATTCCTGGGATGCTATCTGTGTGGAGTTTGTATGTTCTCCCTGTGTTCAAGTGAGTTTGCACCCCCCCAGTTTAAAGTCATAGTGGTAGTTTAATTGGCTTCTGTGAAAAGTGTGTCTGTGTCTGTCTGCTCTGCAGGGTCCAGGGTGTACCCCTCCTTGCACCTGTTGCTTGCTGGGGACAGGCTCTGGTCCCCTGCAACCCTGTATTGATAAAGTGGTTATAAAATGGGTGGATGAAAATATTTTGTAATGACTTGAGGAGTAATGAGTGTGGAATTGTCACTTACAATTATTCAATTTGTGTTAATTGTTGTGGAGGGGAAGTGTCAATTGATTGAGAAAAACTAGTCCAATCTATTGTGCATGCCTCTGAGAGGTGGGAGGAAACCAGAGGCCACATAAGCCCACAGAATATCTAAATATGAACACTGTTCTTCACTGGAGCAGTTTATGCTCCAGTTTTTAAAGTACAATGCTTGGTGTATTTCAAAAGGCTGGATGTACAATTCATTGTGTTTTGTGAACCCCTAACTATTGTCTTTTTCATGGCCATTCCTTTTCCTGCTCTTGTCCTATAAAGGCAGGTGAGGTCTCAGATGGTGCCGGACTAAAGGGAATTTCTGGGCGGATACCTAGCATCGTCATCACTTCAGAGACCAGCCCCAACTTCCCGCCTGCCCTCAGAGCCAGCGGGCGCTCCTCTCGAGTCCGAACAGGCAATAGCAGTGTGGGGGCAGCCTCTATTACTGTGGATCCACTGGGAGGGCCACTCCAGGTGTCAGTGCACACCTCCCCCTCTCACAAAACTCCTGGGCTAAGTGACAGCAGCTGAGCACCCACTCTGCATTTCTTTTAATGGAGAATTTAATTTTTATATTTAATAACTTGAAGTGTGTCAGCAAATGTGAAAAGCATGCTCTTTTTACACAGCTCTAGCTGCCTGTATAGTGCCAGCAACAGGTTCTTGTACAATCTTTGATTTGATTGGTTCTTGTATAATAATTTATGCAAGGATCTAAATAGCCACATCCCTTTAAATTGAGAGGGGCATGCTACCATGACTGAAGACTGGCTGGTTTAGTTATTTCTGCTTGTTCAGAAGCTTATTTTGCTGAATGTCCTTTGGACCTCAGTGATAAACCATCTTTAGCATGAGGGAAGCTAAACAATTCTTCCCTTAGTCTGGATTAAAATCAGTTAAATTGAGCCCTGTTTGGATCCACAGTGGTTTAATTTAGGTGCTGTAGCCCAGAATCATAACAGCCTTTCTTGGTTGGCAGCCAAGGGAAGGGAAGCCAGGGTTGACAGCCAGGGAAGCTGGTATAGCATCCAGCTTCAGGCACAGCCACTCCCAGTTCTATAAATGGGCCAATCTCTCAATTAGCAGGAAGGTTAGACATTGCACTTCGCATAAAGCACATGATGCTCTCTCAATTCAATTCAGTGCAGCGTAAAGGCAAGGAGAAAGCTGACAAGTGAACCGGCCATCTCAGGAGTATGTGGCAGCTGTCACTTGGCATTGACTTTAATTTAAGGAAACATCAGGAATCTCTCCATCTGGTACCAGCAGAGGCCTTACTTAATGTAGCACATACATCAGTACAATGCACAGAGAAAAGCTCCAGCTACATACTGTACATGTTTCTAGTCCCCCTCACTGAGATATACTGTACATTCACTGTCATTATGCTGTCACCATACTGTTAACATGCTGCCCCTCACTAAGAACATGACATGGCCAAAGCCCTGGCTTGATAAAGTCCACCATAATGCAAGGCCCTGCCACACGAGCATGAGCAGCCTTGACATTAGAGATACTGTAACAAGCACAAAAGAGAGCAGTGCATGGCAATTTGATCTTATTAGGTAATGCAGAGCCTGAAACGGGTGCAATCACACCCAGAAGGCTATTAGTTACTGTATATTCCAGGGTGAGAAAATGGGACAACTGGATAATATAACTAATTATTTTCTTGGGAATAGGGTATGTACCCAAATACATCAGGGCTGTATTTTCTGTTTGTTCTGTGTGTATTGCAGCACTTAAAATGTTAAAATAATCCCAAAAACCACAGGTACGAGCTGAATACAAAATGAGGAAAGTTGAACATTAAATTGATTCAAGCTATTGAAAGTCAAAGTAGAATTTTGTTCCATCATAACTGACTTTGAATGGGACTTCAGGTGACCAGAGACCTGTCTGTAAGTATTGAGTGGCTATTGTCCATATGGGTCTCCTGACCGACGGTCACGGGTTCGAGGGTGGAATTAGCTTTTTGGCTCTCAGAGATGTAGTGCTGGCAGTGAGGGGTGTGCCTCTCTTCCAGGTGGTGCAAGGCCTGTTGCCTGTGACATGTTGAAAGATGACTGTCTGGAAGGTACAGTAGCCATGACATTATCTCAAGCTGAGGAGTGAAAAAACATACACTGGCTTTTCCAGATTGGGTGGGTCTAAATAAATGAATAAATAATATATATATATCGATTAGACTCATGATAAGTCCCTGGGCCATGGAAGTGCAGTATCTACTAATTAGTATCATATTCTGGAAAGTATTTTTTTTTCAAAAAGGTTTAATTGCTTTAAGACTTTATGTAAAATGTATAAAAAGTGACATTTAACAATGTTGTATTATATGTGACGCAAATTTTCTTCAATATTACTACCTACATGTTCAAGCAACCTCCTTACAGTTGCAGAGATGTTGCAACCCTGTATCTAAAAGAAGCTAATTCGCTAGTCTGCGAATTGTGTACTGTAAATGTGTTGTGACAGTATACTGATGTGTCGGTGATCCTCTTCTAAGTCCACTGAACACTCATTGATGAGAACAAGTGGCTGTGAAAAGACTCTATTGAATGAATTTCTGACAGCTATGTAGTTTTGAATGTTCATGTAGACTCACATTGTGATTCAGACGAAAATGTTTCGATTGCCTGTGTAGCTCAGGTGACCTGCTGTTAGATGTTTCTTTTACCCACCCAGTGGGTAACTTTAAAGGACTTTGTTGAGAAAGTAGAAATACATTTTCATTGTAAAGCCTTCTGTATGGTTTATTGTGTAAAGGCAAAATATTTTTAAAAATAATTGTGCTAACAGAAAAGGACTGGACATTAATCTTTTAAGGCATACATTCACATTAGCATGGCTGAATTTTATTTCCCTGAAATTACAGGTTTCTACATTGCAATTTAATATACAGTATAGCACCTTATCTAATTAGTGTTTACACTAATTTAAATTAATAAATTAATAATAAATTATAAATAAGTGTTTACAATAATTAGATAGGGTGCTATATCTAAATATTTTCTGCAAGCCACACAAGATGTGAAATCCAGTGAAATCTGCTGTAGGTTTCAGCCAGTGATGTTGAAATGAGAATTTCTGAAATGAGCAGGACAATCTGTGAGCTCACCCACGCCATGGCATTTCTCCCTCTCCCTTTATTCTGATCAACAGACGTCCAGGTGAGCAGGTGAGGCAGCGACATGCTGTTATGCAGTGTAGAACTCTCCCTGTCTGGTGCCATTTAAGAACTTAACTGGGCAGTGAGTGACAGAATGATTATTTCTCATTCCAGGTTCTTCCTCTGTTGTTACAGTCACCCAGCTCCAGCAACTGACAGCATTAAACTACAATACTGTACCTCTGTCCTGAAGGTGTGATGAACATCACTTAGCCATGACAGCTCCTTAATTAAATCAGGAATATCTGGTGAACTAGCTACCATTTCATCTTTCCTCTCACTATAGTTAGCTTTTAAAATTTTGAGCAGCTTTCCCTGCTGTTTAGGGAGATAATTCCATATGAAGTTTGAAAAGAGCTGAAAAACAATATTGTAAGTTTCAATTAGCATTTCCATGAAGAATCACTTTTGAAAATGGTAATTTTGAAACAATTGAGTATATTTGTCCCCTTCCAAAATAACTGCTTGTTCAATTGCAATCAGTTGTTGCTGAGCAGTGAACTTGTTAGAGCAATTAACAAGTCAATCGTCATGCTGTTTTTGTTGTCTGTGTATTTAGGGGGAAGAGAGTTGAAGTCAGTCTTAAAGGAGACACAGGACATTTGTTATTGCAGTTTTAATAGGAATTTATATAATATGCTAACTGTTTCAAGCTGAGCCCAGTCTTACACTGTAACTCCTTCCCCCAATCATAACACTCTCGTATTATCTCCCCTCCTCATTTGCTCCATTTGTAAGTCCCTGCAACCCCCTCCATATTCTTTCCCTCTTTTCTTCTCACTACCCCCCACTCTGTCTTTCTCCTTCTGCCCCAGTCGCTCTCAGTGTTTCCTCTGCATCTTTCGCCAAAGGTCAAAGGTCAATGGTCACAAGGGTGAGGCACCTCTGGCATTATCAGCTGTTCGAATGGCAGAGACTGTCAGGGTGAAGCCAGGCTAAATCCTTTTGTAGAGCGAACACCATTGCTGTTAATTTTACACTTATGTCTGTCAGAGGGACAGTTATTTATTTATTGGAAGAAATTTCCACTCTTGATTTATTCTTGTTAAAATAAGTTGTCTCACTGAGATGCACTGAAAGGTTATACAGACATGCTCACTGGCATTACCAGAAAGACAGCTCGCACCCAGGGGCTCTCAAACCCAGCTCCTGGAGGGGCAACGCTTGCTTCAGCTGAGCTCTGCGTTCCTCTCTCTTCCTGTTTCTTCATTCCTCTACCTGCCTCACTTAATGGAAAGTGAGTACTTCCTGACAGTTGTCTCAAACGGTGCAACAGAGGAAAGGTAGCTCAGAAATCTCAGTTTTAATGTTGCACAAACAATTAAATCACTTATGCAATTAAACTCGACGATCCTGCGTCAATCCTGGATTCTGAGCCTCCTGCCTTGCAGAAAACACCTGCACCTGAGGTAATGACCCTGCACCAGTTTTAAGTCCGGGAAACCTGCCTTAGTTTCTATTGTGTGTGTGAAAAGCTTCAACTTCCATTATTTATAAACAACTAGCTAGAAACAGTTAATGGGCTTTTTCCTCTGTGGACTTTTTAACTGTTTTGCACTTTGCTCAGCAAGGTAACCTCGCTTCCTAATTCCCCCATCCCCCAGTGTAAACAAGATGTCATTTTGCCATCATTAGCAAATCAGCTGACAGTTCTGGGGAAACACATCTTCAAGCTCTGTTCAGAGGATGTGTGTGTGAGGAAGCGTTGCTCAGACTGTGCTCTGAGTACGTATCGCTAACTGGACCCATGCTCTGATTAGTCTGACAGTGTCTGTCTTTGGGCTTGGAAAGAACTACTGCTCATGATAAACCTCAACACTGAGAATGTCTGTATCGTTACCCGCAACAGAGCTCCGGGCACTCTTAGATACTGCTGGCCTAGTTTCCACTTGTTACGTTAAGCCAGCCTAAAGCAGGAATAACAATGTGTTAATATAAAGTTGCCCTCAGACACTTTGTTGACAAAATTAATATTCAGTGCAGATCTGCGTGTCTGGGACACATGAGCTCTAACTGCGCTTCATTTATTTGGATGTGTGATTTAACCATAGGTCATTTTCTCATTTCATAAGAGATCAAGGAAGAAAATATGTAAATTTAATATATTACGTTTTATTTTGCACCGTTAACATCTACAGGATGAATAAGGACATGCTGTTTTCCATTATCACTGAAGGAGATGCTGGTCTTTCGTGGGAGAGAAGAGCACTGCCTTTCCTTATAACTTGTTAAAATAGCAAGGATAAATACCAACCACTAAACAGAGCAGACTCAAACACCACAGTACTTACTATCAGGCATTAAAAGATCTGACACAGATGCTCCTGTGAGAAACTGATATTTATACCGGGGGTACAGGAAGTGTGGTGAGTAAAACTAAACAATCATTAATGTGTGTTTTTGGAGTCTGGATCTTAGTGACAAAAAAAAATGAAAAATGGCTCCAGGGGATTTTGAGGGCTCGTTTTGCATTTTATTTTAATGAATAGACTGTTTAATGAAAATTAGCTCAGACTCACACATGTCAACACCCTCAGCAGACCTTTGCAGATTTTAATGCACTATTCCAGTAATGCTTCCTAGCCTGTGAGAGAAGGGGAAGGGGTGACACTGATAGGCTTCTGCCCCTCTGCCAATTTCGCTGTGTGTTTCTTGAACCTCCTTTTAAGGCACAATCATATTTCCAAAGTATTTTTAAGAGAAACCAAATCAATTTAAAATGGGGGGTTAAATGCTTCAAATAACACCTCACAAATTTCTGCTGCTTAAAAAATATCAAGGAACATGTCATTATTTAGTGTATGCACAGATTCTAGTAATACTGATTAAATGTTCAAAAATGTATATATAGTCTATCTATATTATAGATACAGAAGTACAAAAAAGGAATATATTATAAGAGTGAAGCTAATGCAGTGAACTTAGTTACTAGTATTACATTTCTAACCAGAGAAAGTCACCTAATGCTAGTCCTGTGTTTTAGTTTTACTTTAAAACACAGTGCCACCCATTGGCTGGGTTTTATGACTGCAGGTTTTGAGGAATATATCCTGACCAGCTTTGCTACTACTATGTCCCTTATAAATCTTCCATGAACTGCAGATTTCCAATGGTTTCCTGTATAAATATCTATTGTAGCTTGAAGTAGGCTGAAAAACAGTAATATACAGAGGAACATTTTTTGGAATCTCTTCTAAATGGGCTGATTCAGCAAGAATTACAGGAATTCTGATTGTCAATAAATGTGTCACAGCTCTGCAGAATTCCAAGCAGCTTAAAATAAAAAAAATTGAAAAAAAAATTAATTGGCCTCACAGTTAGCTTCACCAGTCCACCAACTAAATCAGAAACAAAAAAAGAAAAAAAAATTCTAGTATGTGGTTTCACCGTCGAAAAGTGTCCAGTTACATTCTGTTACTTTTATTCTTTCTTCTGAGTCTGAGTCACAAACATGTATCACATTATTATTTTAATGTATCACAACAATGTAACCTACCTACCATTAAATGTATTATTGTTATTATTGCTGTTGTATTTATAATGTATTGTACTGTATTTAAAATCTGATAACTGACATGCTTAAAATTCTTTAAAAAATGTGTGAAAAATTAAATTTGGGGGAGCAGCTTTCCTATAAATATGTATTTTAAAATATGAAATAAGCTGTTTGTAGTAGAATTGTGTTATTCTGGCTTGTGTATTGTTGTGCTGGATTTTATTTTTTAAATTAAACGATACAGTTAAACATAATATTACTTGCATAGTGTGAATTTGTTCAGCCCTGGACTGATTTATAGAAATGTCACTTTAAACTGATTATCTCATAGATTGGACCCTTTAGTCCAGATAGTGCCTCTCTGAGCAAAAATAGTAAGAATCAATTTTTATTATAATAACCCTTGCATTTAAATGGTACTTTTCATCTGCAAGGACTACAAATTCACTCGTAGAAAAAGACCCAGTTCATCCCCAGCTCTCCAGCCGAATTAAGGGGAGACTATGGAGCGGCCAGGCTGTACACCTCCAGAGTCGAATTCGGATCCTGGAGTGGTTTCCCTGCTCTTCCGATCAGGAACCCAGATCCGTGTGCTATACCTGACAAAGTGGGAAAAGCAGTAAGCGAAATTAGGAAAGCATGTTCACTTTCTTAAGGAGGAAATATATTTTTCAGAATGCTGTATGAAAAATGTATTTTTCTCTTTCTAAAGGAAAAAGATTGTTAATGGCTTTTGCGTATATTTTTAGTAGAGTGTTTTCAGCCTTCTCTTGTGAGGATCCACTGCGAAAGATCAAAGCTCTTCTGCGCTATCTAACAAATTATTTTTTGTTGGGGGGTGTTTCCATGGCCGTAGTAAGGAGTAGTAACTTTCTGACCGTGTATGTCAAGTGGAAAGTCATTAATAGATTGGACCAATAACAATACTTCAGGAAGTTACTGTATATTATATTTATTAAAACAGACTGAACTGGTAGTTGTAGGATATCATTAAGGAATCGATTGCACCAGTAATTGTGGGAAGCTGCTGTAGTTATGAATGGATGCACCCATTGTGGAAAGCCTTAGATTAAATCCAATGTTGTGAAATGTGATTAATCAATTAATTGTCAGAGTTTCTTGTGGACTTGCTTGAAAGAGCAAAATTGTCACTCTAAACTAACTTTAATGAAGTTAAAGCAATAAGAGGCTATTCAGACAATCATGATTTAATGGATTCTACTAATAGATAGGGAAGTCA